ATTTTTAGTTTCAATCAATAATTATTATCATAGCTAATCGATTTCTAAATTCTAATCAATTCTAATCGCTAAATTTCTAATTTTTCTCTAATCGATTTTTAAATAATCAAATTTTTAGTTTCAATCAATTTTTATCATAACTAATCGATTTTTAAAATCAATCAAACTAATCGATAATCTAATCGATTTCTAAATTCTAATCAAATTTTTAGTTTCAATCAATAATTATTATCATAGCTAATCGATTTCTAAATTCTAATCAATCTCTAATCGATTTTTAAATTCTAAACAATTTTTAATTTCAATCAATTTATCATCATGCCATTGATTAAACAATCATCGATATTTAAATTTAACCATTCTTTTTATGATTCAATTTAGAAAAATTAATCATCGAAATAATCAATTACTAAATTTTTATAGACAAAACATTTATACTGAAATTATTTTTCTTATTTTTAATAATTATAGCTCTTTTTTCCCTTCTTTTTGTATTCAAACATTACTAATGATTCATCAATAAATTCAATATTTTATCAATGATATGATAATAATTAATTAAAAAGTTTATTATAACTCAAATAACTCTAACTAAATATTTGTATTGGAATAATAAATTCTATAATAGTACGAAAGTATTACTTAATTTTATTATTGATTATTAATTCCTTTTTATGTATTAATTAATAAAGTAAACAATGCAAATTTATTCATTCATTTATTTTTATAATTTATTAAAATATATAAAATTATGCCAATTGTTTCAACAAATAATGCATTTCTTTTTTTCAAAATAAACTATGAAATGTTGGCAAATTTATTCAAATTGAAATTTTAAATTATAATATTTTTAATATTTATCCCTCATACCTTCCTCTAATTAAATAAAATAATTTTAAATTTTTTAAATAAAATAATTTTAAATAAAATAATTTTAAAATATTTTTTTCTTCTTTTATTAGCATCTTTATTTTCAATCATTCATTGGTATATTAAAATTTTTGAAAAATTAATTAAAACGTTAGATAAAAAATGAATTAATAATTTATTTTTTATTGATAATTTTAAATATATTAAATGAGGAAAAAAATATTTTTACAAATTATTTAATAAGTAAGTTATTATGTTGTAAGTAATTTATACTTTACTTACTTATTTTTCATAACATTTATTACTTATTATCTCAAAATTAGTTGTGATACTTAGGAGTTAAATGTTGAAATAACAATTTTTAATTTATTTAATTGCATCCATATAACTATTTCAGACAAAAAAAAAAAACGAAAACAGATAAATTTAATTAAAATTTATTTCTTTTATAAAATAGAATAAATCATTTAAAGAATTTACTATCATAAAGTAATAGCTAATAGCTAAACAAATTCAATATTTAATAATTCGAAAGAAATTGAAATTGAAAGGAAATGAAAAAATTCTTTTTTTCTGTTAACAAATATTTTGTTTGCATAAGAAAGATTATTTATAGTTTTACTTAGATAAAATTATACTTTAATAAATTTTTGCAATAATTAAATATTTTTTTTTCTATCAAAAATTTTAAATATAAAAATGAAATATTTTTTAGTATCATAAACTATTTCTTTTTAAAAATAATTTAAAAAAAAAACTGCTAATAATAGCTAAAATGTCAATCAATGAAATTTATTTTTGTTTTTAAATTTAAAAAAAAAGATTTACTAATTTCATTAAGTTAGCATTTTTGATTGTTTACAATTTACACTCATAGATAATTTCATTAAGTTTTTTTTTTTCATTTCAACCTATTTTCCAAATTTTTACAATTATTTTATTACGACAAAAAAAAAAAAAAAGATTTTTACTTTTTTTTTTTTCAATCAAAAAAAATTTTTTCTTAAAAAAGAAAATAATTTTTATGGCAATTAACTTTACTCTTATTGATTTGTTACTTTTGTTTTGCTTTAAATATTATTCTTGAAAAATGCCAACGACAAATTTATTTTTAACTTTTATTATTTTTTTTTTGTTTCCCTAACGACTAACAATAATTTATGATGTCAGTGCCTATGTTTATCCTTTTTTTTTCGTTTTATTCTCATTTATTACATTTTAATATTTTCAGCCAAAATTTCAATTTGCTAAAATTTATAAAAATAAAAATTTAAAAGAAAAAAATACTTTACAATTTCAATTCTTTATCACTTATATAATGCAAATTTTCAGTGATTATTTGATCTTTTATCAATAAAATTTTCTTTTTCTTTTATTTTTTCTAATTCTCATTGATTTCATTAAGTTAGTATTTTTGATTTTACATAAAAATTAAAGTTTGTATTTCACATTCATAAATATTTTTCTTTTTTTTTTTTTTAAATTTATATTTTAGCTAAATTTCATTTTAATTTTGTGCTATAATTTTTACATGCATTCATCAATTTTTTTCTTTTTTTTTTTTCTTAAACAATAAAATATTTCAAATGAATTATACTAATTAATATTGGATTAATTGTTTTCAAAAATTTGAACAAATTAAATGAAAATAAAAAAATGATAGTTATAAAAGATTTTTTTAAAAAAAAAAAAGGAAAGCAAAAATCGTAGATGAAATATTTTATATGTTAGATAGAGAATTGATAATAATTAAATTAGTGACAAAGATTTTTAGAAAGATTAATTAAATTAAATGAGAAAGAAGCACAGATGATAGTATGAATGAATGAATGCAACTTCAAATAAAATTTAAAATTTTTTGGTTCATAAATCAAATTATTGAAAATAAATCAAATATTATTGTTTTCGTTTTCGTTTTCGTTTTCTTTCTAAACATTTCAATTTTGTTTTTACTTCATTTTTCTTTTTTTTTTTAATTATAAATAATATATGCAATTTAATTTCATTGTTAATCTTTCATTTCGTTAAATGTTTGAAAAAATAAATAAAATAAAATGAAAATATGGCAAGCAACCAAATGGATGACAGGAAATAGGATAAGCTGAAGTGTGACAAATAGTTGAATTTATAGTTTAGAGAGAAACAAACAAACAAACAAACAAACAAAAAAAACTTTTTAGGAATTAAAAAAAAAAGAAAAGAAAAGAGAAGAAAAATGATGGACAATTTCAGGTGGTACTTAAATTTAGCAAATTGACTTTACTCCTACTAATAGCTCTATTTTCAATTGCTTTTTGCAAAAAGATAAATCTAACTAAAATTCTATGTTAACATTATTTACAAATGCATTTGTGAAATTTAATCGGAAATTTTGACACTTTGCAAAAATTTTGCTTTTATATAAAATTTAAAAGCTATTTTTCATTCATTATCATTCGCTAAAATTTGATAGAAAATATAAAATTAGCAATAAATGTAAGTTGTTTTTATTCTTGTTTTATTTAAAAGTTAAATTTAACTTTTAATTTTAAATGTTAAAAAAAAAGAGTTAAATTTAAAATTTAACTTTTATATCAATTATCTTTTTTTTTCTTTCCTCTATTGATTGAAATGTACTATTTCGTTTATAATTGATAAGTATTTTCAAAATTTAAAAAAAAAAAAAAAAGACATAACTTTTTAATGAATTATAATTTGTATAAAAAGAATGTCATATGACTTTTTTTTGAAAATAAATCATATGATTTAATTTCTTTGCTACTACTACTGGATAAATGTTAGCTTTGCTATGTTTGTCACCAAATGATTGTCAACGATTCGTCGCGTCCTTAATGCAATATAAATGTTTAATACTAAATTGCTAACTAACATTAATGTTAAATTTTCTTCTTTGCAAATAAAATTTTTTTCATTCTTAATCCATTTTTTATTTTTTATTTATTTTTTTATTTTTTGTCATTTTAAAATTGCTTTTAACACATTCTTTAGAATCGGTCAAATAAATTTTTGCATCCAATAATATATGATAATTGCATGCTTTATTGCTCATCAATATTTACTTTTAAAATTTATTACCTTTATAATACACAGGTAAGCTTAATAATAGACTATAAAGTATTCAGCTATTAAAAGCATATATACTTATACTTATATATAAGTAATTACTTATCCATTTAGATATGTCTTTTTTCCTTTTTTCTCAAAATTTTATAAATAACATAGAAGTGAAATGCCGCATACTTTTTAAATAATTAATTTGTTAAATGTGTTCTTTCTTTTTTCTTTCTTTTTTCTTTCAACTTAATAACAATTTTCATTTATTTTTATTTGCGTCATCTGAAACAAAAAAAAAAAAAAATGAAATTTTCTCAATAATTTCACTGATGTTTCATTCATTCATTCATTCATTTACTTTAAAATGTCAACAATACATTCATATGAATTATATATATATTTTTTTATAAGCTTATATTCTTATATTAAGCAATCATTGTTTACTTGTTTACTCTTATCGCATCATGCGTTGTTTACATGTAAGTATAAAAAAATTTGATGAAATAATTCCTTCACATTTGTATAGTCTTATTTAATTTTTTTTTTAAGCTTATATTCTTATATTAAGCAATCATTGTTTACTTGTTTACTCTTATCGCATCATGCGTTGTTTACATGTAAGTATAAAAAAATTTGATGAAATAATTCCTTCACATTTGTATAGTCTTATTTAATTTTTTTTTATAAGCTTATATTCTTATATTAAGCAATCATTGTTTACTTGTTTACTCTTATCTTTCATCGTTTACATATAAGTACAAAAAAAAAAAAAAAAAAAAATTTAATGAACTAATTCTTTCACATTTGTATACTCTCATATTTGAATTAAAATACAAATTAAAAATATATGCTATTTAATTTATATGATTAACTCCCACTCAAATACATCCACTAATTGTCATACACCTTTAAACTAATTAATTACACTTTAATTTTTTGTTTTTTATTTTTTTGTTTGTTTTATTGATTTGTTAATTTTATATTTGTTTTGCTTTATGTAAATAATTGCTGCGAAGTGTTTTCATTTCATTTCTTTTACATTTTCAGTATCTCAAAATTGGCAATAATAATTTGAAATGTCAAAAATACTTGAAGCATCGATTCAAAATTGTAATTCTGCTCTAAGTATGATAAAATGGTTTTATAATAATTTTATTATTAATTATCATATACGAACAATACTGCTTATTATCATATTTTCATCTTTAATTAATTTCGTACAAGCAAATTACAATCAGACAGAAACAGATACAATCAAAAATTGTGTTGATGGTATGATAATACCAATTTGGTTTGTTTTCCTTTTTTTTTTAAATTTTTTTTTTTAAAATATTTATTAGTTTTGACAGGATGACACTAAATTTAATTATGTATTTATGACAAAAGAAAAAAAAAGAGAAAAGAAAATGCAATTAGACATTAATTAATTAATTAACTAATTAAACTGATATGCAATGAGAATTTTAATATGTACTTGTCAAATAAGTAATTTGAATTTTACACAAAAATTTTGAACTATTATTCTAAGGTACCTTTTGTTAGCCATAATTTTGCAATAAGTTAGTTTGCCCACTTTCGAGGGCAAAAAAAAAAATAACATTAATGTAAGGAAAATTATTTAAAAGAAAATTCAGTTAAATCTAAGGAAAAAAAAGATCTAATAAAGAAAATTTTTAATTTTAAAAAAAAAAATTTTTTTCTATTTTAAAATTTGATTTCCATCAAATTTTTAAAACTCTTCTATTGATTGATTTTTTTTTTTTTTTAATATTATAGTTTTTAAAAGGAATAATATTGTTTATATATTAATACAATGAGTGACATTTTTGGATAGCAAATTCTTCACTGAAAATTAGGAATTAAATTTTTTTTTATAATTTCAATTATAAAATTAATTATAGAATATCGTTGCAGGCGTCCATATTTACATCTAAATATTGGTGATCGAATATTTCGTGGTGTAATATACTTTTTTATAATTGCTTATGTATTTCTTGGAGTATCTATTGTTGCTGATCGTTTTATGTCATCAATTGAGGTTATAACAAGGTAAATGATAAGATTAATATTAATTAAAAGTAATAATTTTGATCTTTTATGAATTTAAAGTATTAATTCCAGGTAAATGATAAATTAAAATTAATAATTTTTATTTGTTATAAATTTAAAATGTTAATTCAGGTAAATGATAAATTAAAATTAATAATTTTTATTTATTATAAATTTAAAATGTTAATTCCGGATAAATGATAGATTAAAATTAATAATTTTGATTTATTATGATTTTAAAATGTTATTTGAATTTAAATTGAATGCAATTTTTTTGTAAAAAATATTGTTGAAAAAATCATTTTTTTTAATTGAAAAAAGTTTTTTTTTAAAAAAAAAAATTGAATAATTCGTTTTATAATAAACTCAAAATTATTAAATTTTTTTCAAATAATAAAAGAAAAAATTTTGCCATTTTTTTTTTTTTTATTCTTTCTCTTAAATTTCCAATGTTTCAAATATTTACAAAAGAATTGCAAAAGAATTTGTTTATTTACAAAAGAATTTATTTTGTCTATTTTCTCTTTTTTAATTTTTTGAATTCTTTTCTAAAAGTTTTGTTTTTTTTTTGTTGTTTTTTCATTTCAAAATTGAAATAATAAACAAATTATTGTTATAAATCTTTTAAATATTATTAAAAAAAAAGAAAATTATTTAGTATGGAAAGAACAGTACAGGTAAAAAGACCAGGTTTGGAGCCTTTGAAGGTAAAAGTAAGAATATGGAATGATACTGTTAGCAATTTAACGCTAATGGCACTTGGTTAGTAATTTTTACTAAAAATTTTAAATTAATTTTTGTCTTTTTCCAAAATTAAATTTTTAATTTATATCATCTTATTATAAAATGATATAATTCTTTTTATAAAATTTTGATAATACTTTTAAAATTATCAATTAATAATTGATAATTCATTGTGAAAAATTCAATTTGAATTTAAGTAAAAAAAACATTCTAATCTGTTAACTTTTGAGAGCTTATTTACAGGTATATATTAAAAATTTTTAATACGATTACTTAAAATAATCATATTTCAGTTCTGAATTAATTTTCAAATTATTAATTCTAGGTTATTGTAGAAAAATAAAGAATTAAATGCAAATATTTTAAATAATTATTTTTTAAAAAAAAAAAAGAAATTAGGTTGGAGATTCAGGTAAGAATGAAAAAGAAATTTAAAAGTTTTGTTTACTTAAATTGTTGATTGAAATAAACGAATTTGTATAATCGAAATTTGTTTGCATTGTCATTGAAAATATAAAGTAATTTCATCTATTCACACCAGAAAATTCTTATCTCTGAGAAAGTTTAAATAAAAAAAAAAAATAAAATTTTTTTAAAGAATTAAAAATAGAACTATGAAGTATTAATGAACTAATAATAGATGAGAAAGTTAAGAAATTAACTTTTCAAATTGTTTAATTTATTAAATTGTAAAATTTATCAATCAAAAAAAATTTCAAACACTTATGAATTCCAAAGTTTTTCTTTTCTGTCAAACTTTTTTGGTATTCGATGAAAATTTTTATCAATTATAATTATTTAATTATATAAAAGTATTAATGAGATTAATAAAAATGATAATAAAACAAATCAAAAGTTTACCATTTTAAATTTCTAATATTATTTTTTAAATGATAATTTTTTTTTTTTTTAAATGATACTTTCGTTTTTTAGTTGCAATTCATAAAAAGCATTTCATTTCAGGCTCCTCTGCACCTGAAATTTTACTGTCAATCATTGAGGTAATTAATTAATTAATTAATTAGGAAAAAAAACTAAATTTTATATGTTAAAGGCAATATTAATTTATATAATAATAATTTATGCAAATTTTATTATTAATTTTTATTCATTATAACTGATTTACTTTTTTAGTGCAATTTTAATTTGAACAAAAATTTTCCATATCAAAATTTTAAAAATTTTCAATTTCTTTTTATGAATTTTCAAAATTTTGGTTTGCTTCTCTTCAAATTATATTTAAATTTTGGGAAACAATTAAGAGCTAAATTTATCAGATTATTATCAATAAGTAAGGAAGAATTGATTAAAATTTCACACTTTTATTAGTTTTAATTGTAAATAAATTTGTCGTACATATTTCAATGTCACATCTTTTATGCAAATTATACTAATAAATTTAATTAAATTTACTCTTGAAATTTATTTTTTTTTTTGAAATTTTTTTTAGAAAAATTTTTTTTTGAAATTTAGACTACCTAAAAGCTATTTTAGGTGATTGGAAAAGGTTTTAATGCAGGTGATTTGGGACCAAATACAATTGTTGGCTCAGCAGCATTTAATTTATTTATGATAATTGCAATATGTGTAATGGCTGTACCAAATGGTGAAATTCGACGTCAAAAACATTTAGACGTGTTTTGCGTCACTGCAACGTGGTACGTGAATTTATTTTTTTTTTTTGTTCCTCAATTTTTTGATAAATTTAAATTTACTAATTAAATTATGGGTGAAGAAAAAAAAGCGAATTAAAAAAGTAATTGTAATATTTTCTTTTTTTTTAATTTTTAAAATAATAATAACAGTAGACGTATTTTGCGTCACTGCAACGTGGTACGTAAATTTTTTTTATTGTTCCTCAATTTTTTAATAAATTTAAATTCATTAATTAAATTATGGGTGACGAAAAAAAATTTAACTAATTTATTAACTTATTTTAATATTAAAATTATAGACGTATTTTGCGTCACTTTTTACGTTTATTTTTTTTTTTTTCAATTTTTGTAAATTAATTAAAAATACTAATTAAATTATGGGTGAAAAAAAAAAGCGAATTAAAAAAGTAATTGTAATATTTTCTTTTTTTTAATTTTTAAAATAATTAGAATAGACGTATTTTGCGTCACTGCAACGTGGTACGTGAATTTTTTTGTTGCTCAAATTTTTGATAAATTTACTAATTAAATTATGGGTGACGAAAAAAAAAAGCGAATTAAAAAAGTAATTGTAATATTTTCTTTTTTTTAATTTTTAAAATAATAATAACAATAGACGTATTTTGCGTCACTGCAACGTGGTACGTAAATTTTTTTTTTTTTTATCAATTTTTTGATAAATTTAAATTTACTAATTAAATTATGGGTGACGAAAAAAAAAGCTAAATTTGTAATATTTTTTTTTTTTTTTTAAAATAATAATAAAAATAGACGTTTTTTTAACGTGGTAAAATTTATTTTTTTGTAAACAATTTTTTGATAATTTAAAATTTATTTATTAAATTATGGGTGAAGAAAAAAATATTTTTTTTCTAAAATTTTAAAATAATAATAATTGATTTTAGGTCATTATTTGCATATATTTGGTTGTATTTAATTTTATCAGTTTTTTCGCCAGGTTTTATTGAAATATGGGAAGGTTTAAAATATTTAAATAATTAACATATTAAGTATGTATATAATATAATATTAAAAAAATATAAAAATTTCTGGTATTTCCTTAAATTTTTTTTTTAAAGCTTTAATTTTGTAAATTAATTAGAAATTTGTAATTTCAATTGAAATAAAAAATTGTTAAAAGTTTTATAATTTAAATAAAATTAAGTAAATTTGAAATTTTATTTTAATATTTTTAAAAATGTTTAGAGGCGTTTTATGCCACATCGTTATCGTAGAACATCGCATGGAATTGTTGCAACAGAAGGTGAAAAAATGGAAATTTTGGGTGAAAATGGTTATCTTAAAGTTAGTAATTAAAAAAAAAAGAAAAAAGAAAATTTCTTTTAAAAATTTTTTAGCTTATTTTTGATTTTTTAAATTTTATCAAAACTAATCATATTTATCACTAAAATGATGATGTTTAATTTGAAGAATGCCTTTTTATAAAATCTATTTAAGCTATATAATTTTATTTGATAATGAATTTTGTTAAAATTAAAAACTCTAAACTTTCCCAAATTTTTTTTCTTTTTTTTAAAATTTAAAAAAAAAAATTTTTTTTTTTAAAGTAATAAAATTGATCCAGCTGTAAAAGCATTCGAAGATAATCGAAAAGCATTTATTGAAATTATGCGTGAAATTAGAAAAAAAAATCCACAAATTGATCCAAGCAAATTACAAAAGCAAGCAGAATATGAAATGATTAGTCGTGGTCCAAAATCAAGGGCATTTTATAGGTAAATTTTGTGGGTAAATTTTATAGGTAAATAAGTGGGCATAAAATATTTGTAAATAATAAAATAATTAAGTAATAAAAAAGTATCGAATAATATAATCATTAAAAAAATGATAAAAATGAATGGTATTTAGTGATAAAATTGTTTGATAAATTTAAATTAAAATCAAACTTAGAATTTTTGTTTTAAATTTTACTAAACAATAAAAAAAAAAAGTTTTGACAATGTTAACATAATATTTAAAATTTTTTCACACAAATGATTAATTATTATTTTTGATAACAAATTTATTAGAATAATTTAGGGTGCAAGCAACCAGACGATTAATTGGTGGTGGACATGTGATAAGGAACCAACTAAATAAAGAGAATCGTGAATGTGCTGTATGTTTTATTGTTTATTGTTTATTGTTTACTTTTTTTTTTTGAAAGAATAATTAGTGTTCTTATTTAGACTTTAAAAACTTTTTTTTTTTGAAGAATTCAACTGAAGAAAGAATTCAACTAATTAGGAATTCATCAAATAAGAAGTAAACAAATAGAACTGTGAACTGTTAATTAAGAATTCATCAAATAAGAAGTAAACAAATAGAACTGTGAACTGTTAATTAGGAATTTATCAAATAAGAAGTAAACAAATAGAACTGTTAACTGTTAATTAGGAATTCATCAAATAAGAAGTAAACAAATAGAACAGTGAACTGTTAATTAGGAATTTATCAAATAAGAAGTAAACAAATAGAACTGTGAACTGTTAATTAGGAATTTATCAAATAAGAAGTAAACAAATAGAACTGTTAACTGTTAATTAGGAATTTATCAAATAAGAAGTAAACAAATAGAACTGTTAACTGTTAATTAGGAATTTATCAAATAAGAAGTAAACAAATAGAACTGTTAACTGTTAATTAGGAATTTATCAAATAAGAAGTAAACAAATAGAACTGTGAACTGTTAATTAGGAATTTATCAAATAAGAAGTAAACAAATAGATAAATCATTGATATAAATATAAGACTTTTTTTAGAGCATAACCAGGCATTAATTTAAAAATTTATTTTTTTAAAAGAAATGAACAATGTTAAAATTATTGTAAAGAAGAAATAAGCAATGTTTAGCCAATAATTGTGCTAGTTTTTCTTTTCTTTTTTCAGAAAAATAAAAGTTGTAATAAATTTGAAATATAATGAAATTAATTAATTGTATATTTTCAAATAATTTTAATTGATAGTAATTTATAAATTATTTAATTTATTCAAATTATTTTAGTTTTGGATGAATTTTGCACTCGAAATGTTCTAAATTAAATAATAAGTACATGATGAGAAATTAACAAATATTTTGAATTTAAAATTGCTCAAGAGCAAGAGAAACAATTTCAAGAACTTAGCAAATATTTTGAATTTAATTTAAAAACAAATATTTTTACAAAAAATTAACTTGACAAATATTTTTAATTGAAGAAGCATGAGAAACAATTTCGAGAAATTAACAAATATTTAAAATTTAAGATTGCTCATGACCATGAGAAACAATTTCGAGAAATTAACAAATATTTAAAATTTAAGATTGCTCAAGACCATGAAAAACAATTTCGAGAAATTAACAAATATTTAAAATTTAAGATTGCTCACGATCATGAGAAACAATTTCGAGAAATTAACAAATATTTAAAATTTAAGATTGCTCAAGACCATGAGAAACAATTTCGAGAAATTAACAAATATTTAAAATTTAAGATTGCTCACGATCATGAGAAACAATTTCGAGAAATTGACAAATATTTAAAATTTAAGATTGCTCAAGACCATGAGAAACAATTTCGAGAAATTAACAAATATTTAAAATTTAAGATTGCTCAAGTGCAAGAGAAACAATTTCGAGAAAATACCTGCAAAATATTCTTTGATCCAGCTCATTATACTGTACTTGAAAGTGTTGGAACATTTGATGTAATTATTGGCCGAGATGGTGGACCTAAAGGATTAACAGTTATGGTTGATTATTGCACCGAGGATGGTACCGCTAATGCTGGAAATGATTATATTCCAGTTAAAGGGACATTAATTTTTCGTCCAGAAGATAAAATACAAGTTAATAATTTTATAAGCATATCATTTTATTAAATTAAAAATTGTTAATTTAATTAAACATAAAATTAGTTCTTAAATTTAGTCAAATTTTAATTCAATTAAAGTTGCTAAAATCTAATTCAAATTTAGTCAAATTTAACAATCATTTTATTAAATTAAAGTTGTCAAAATTTAATTGAATTAAGCATAAAAATAATTTTGATATTATTTTATTAAATTAAATTGTTAACATTTAATTTAATTAAACATAAAATTAGTTCTTAAATTTTGTCAAATTTTAATCATTTTTAAATTAAAGTTGTTAACATTCAACTAAAATAAGCATAAAAATAATTTTGATATCATTTTATTTAATTAAAATTGTTAGAATTTGACTAAATTAAGCATAAAATTATCTTTGATATCATTTTATTAAAATGAAATTGTTAAAATTTGACTAAATTTAAGCATAAAAATTAATTCGATTTACAGTAATAATAAAGAAAAATTAACTATCATAAATTTTATTGAAATGTAGTAAAATTTTGAATTAAATTTTAACATTTAAATTGAATTTTCTTTTTTTTTTTTTTAAATTGAAAAAAAAAAAAAAAAAACATAGAAAGAAAGAATGAGAATTTTGAATTAAGTAACGATAGAAATTTTGGATGACGATGTTTTTGAAGAAGATGAACACTTTTATTTGCACTTGAATAATTTAAGAGTATGTACTGAGGATGGTTTAATATTGGATCCATTAAAGCTTGGTGGTATACCATTAGCAACCTTGGAACTACCTTCTACTGCTACCGTTATGATACTTAGTTAATTTCAATTTTTTTTTTTTTCATTTTTAAATTATTTGTAAAAAAAAATTCATTAATTTTTAATTGAAAATTAATTTTACAAAATTTGCAAAAATGATTAATTACTAAATATTCTAAATTTATTTTGTTAAAAAAAAAAAAAAAAAAAAAAAGAAAAATCTCTTTTATTCAATTTTGAAATTTCAATTCTTTTTTTTTTTTTTTTTGAAAGAAATATGAATGGTATAGTTGAAATTTTAAAATATTTTATGCTTTTTGAAAAACGAAAATTTTTTTTCAAAAAAAAAAAAAGTTGAAATTATGAAAAAAATTTGAAATTTATAGATGATGATCATGCTGGTATATTTTCATTTGAACATGATCATTTTGAAATTATTGAAAATTGTGGTTATTTGTTACTTAAAATACAGCGTACGTCAGGATGCCGTGGTAGAATACTTGTACCATATAGGTAAGTTTCTTTTTTAACTTATTTATTTTTTCCTTTTTAAAAGTAAATAAATTCTAAGAATTTATCATTTTTGTGATAATTGAAATTTAATGTCAAAAAATTGTTATTATAATTTGTTGTATTAAAGAAAAAAATTTATTTTTTGTGAAATGAAAGAGAAGTTTTGTAATATTTTTAAAAAATTGAATATAAAATTTAAGAAATAATATCAGTTTGATCTTACTTAAAATTGCAAAAAAAAAAAAAAATAAAAATAAGAAATTTTAATTTCTTTAATCTTTTTGCAAACTTTAAAAGAATTTTTTTTAAAGAAAAAAAGCAAAATATTTTTTACTTTTAAATTTTACTTTTTTTCGCATAATTAAAAAGATTATGGATAGAGAGAGAAGGAGTGAGAGAGAGAGAGAGAGAAAAGATTTAATTTTAAATATTAGATGGGATAAACTTAATTATTGTTTTTGCACAGATAAATTTCTCATTTGATTTTCTTCCATATGTTTGTTTGTTATTTTTTTGTAAACAATAAAATAGCTTTTAAATAATTCTTTAAAATAACTTTCGTTGCTTATAAAAAACAAAAAGTGAAAACAAAAATTGAAAAAAGAAAATTGAAAATTAAAACAAAATTCTGTGTTAATAGAAATAATTAATTATTGGACTGTAAAAAGTTGAAAAAAGAAACTAAAGCACAGATAGGATAAACAACAATTTTACAAATAACTTTAATAATTAATATTAAAATAAATAGAGCTTTCATGATGATTTCATATGATCAATTAATTTAAATAATTTTATTAAAATTCTTGAATTATTATAAGTTATATTGTTTTAAAAAAAAAGACAATTAAACAAATTTGTTGTTTCATTTATTTTTCATTTTATAAATCTAAACTCTTACAAATTATTCATTCAATTCATTTTCAACTTCTTTTTTTGTTTGTTTGTTTGTTTATTTATTTATTTACTCAAAATAATATTTACTTATTTACTTTATTTATTCTTTTATTCAAAATAACTCATTTAATGTAAGAATATGTTATAATTCTAGCTTTTATATACTATATATTCGTGTGCAACTAACTATATTTTATGTTTGTTTTGATAATTTTAGAAATTAAAAAAAAAAAAGAAAAAAATTTTTTTATTTTTACTAATTACTAAATTTTAATTTTACTAATTAGTTAAATGAATAATTAATTTTTGCAGAGCAATTGATGGTACTGCATTACGTGGAAAGCATTATGAATTTGAAGAAGGTGAAGTTATTTTTGAAGATAATCAAACTGAGTAAGTTAATATAATTTTTTTCATTAAATAAATTCTCATTATTAAATTAAATTATATATATATTTTTTTTAATTCTTATTATCATTTTTTAAATAATTTAAATTCTAATTAATTTTTCTTTTCTTTTTAGAGCATTCATTGAAATTGGCATAACAAATACTGAGCAATATGAAAGGATGGATTATTTTTTTATCATTCTTGATCAACCAATTTGGATCAAAAAGATGTCAGGTAATTTAATTTAATTTCATTAAATTAATCAGGTAATTTAATTTCATATCTTTTCTAAAAAAATTTATTTGTAATTAATTAACTATTGGCTAATTTGATTAACAAATAAATTTATTATACCTTAACACACTGATAATTTATTTATTTATTTTTGAATAAATTATCAAAATGACTGATAAATGATAAATTCTGCAATGGGTAAATAATAATAATAGGAAGATAAACAGTATTTTGCCCATTTTTTGATGATAAAAGATACCCGAGAAATAAATAATGGTAGATAGTAGCATAAAAAAAAAATTTTCATGTAAAATTGTTTAATTTAGATTTGAAAAAAATTCAAGAACGTTTTTTGAAGCGAATTGAAAGAAAGAAAAATGAATCATTGAATAGTTTAAATAGAAAGAATGAATCATTTGATTGTGATGGTATGTTATATAAATAAATTTTATAGTCAAAAAAAAAAAAAAATTTTCAACCTTAAAATTTTAAATTGTATGATTATTTAATGATAAAACATTATCAAATATTAATACAAATTAAAATTTTACATATTTTACAATTGAAATAAAAGTTAAATTAATTAAAAGTAAATTGAAATTATTTTTTTTTACATATTTTTATTAAAAAAAGTATCAATCTAATAAAATTTTTTGGTGTTCAAACAAAAAAAAAAAAAATGAAATTGAAATTGAAATAAATTGTATGATTATTTAATGATAAAACATTATCAAATATTAATACAAATTAAATCAAATTGATCATTTGTCGAAATTAACAATGTTTTTGTTTTGTTTTAAAAAATATTAACTGGTCATCAATAAATGGTTTAAAATAATTTTATAAATTAGTTAAATTATTTTGTCTAGCAAAATGTTTTAACATTCTTTTTTTTTTAAATTAGAAATGTAAATTTGAAAAATTTTTATAATTTTTTAATGAATTATACATTAAATATTTTCTTCTTAGTTTTCTTTAATAAAATTTTTTAATGTAAAATTTCTTTTCAGATAAAAATTTAACAACAACAACAACAACAACAACAATAACAACAACAACGCCAACAGTACCACCCGTTGGTTTTATTCATACTTCATCATCATCTCCAAATCTTTTTCATCTTTCCAACCTTTTCAAACGACGGATGAGTTCTTGGATGACTAACAATCGAGATGAAGGTCATTTTCATTGACCATTAACCATTGACCATTGACCATTGTTTTCTTTGATAATTGTTTACATCAAAATTCTCTTTATTTATTAGCATAATTCTGTTTAATTAATAAATAATGATTAATGTATTAAACAACAAATCAGAATTAAATGAATTAATTATGCTACATTTTTTCAATCTGTTTAATTTATAATTAATAGAAAAGATCGTAAAAAGGTGTATTTTATCAAAGTCTAAGGTAATCTAAGATTAAATTATAGAAAATTTGAACTGAATAATATTATTATCAAATATAAGAAGGAAAAATTTTATTGCAAATGAATAAGGAAAAGAACTAATTCTTATGTCTAATATAAAATTTTATAAATTAATTAGATTTTTTTCTATCTTTTTTTTTTTTGAAAAATGATTTATTTTAATGGATAATTAATGATCTTATTTTTAGTTGCACTTTTTAAGCCTAAAAAGGATTAAATCATTTCCTCTATTCATTATTAAAAATTGTTAATTTTTTTTTTGTTAATTATAAAAGTAATTTAAATATCTTTGCAAATGTTAGCAATTTAGTATAGAAAGCAAATTTTGATGATCATTAACTAAATTATCAACTAAAGATCATAAAAAATCAAATGAAAAGTTAATTTCAACTAATTAAATTTCAAACTTTTAACATAACAGTGAAATGATGTGCATTAAGGAGGTAATAGTTTATGACAAAAGTAATTAATTTATTTAAAAAAAAAAATTACTGTTAATTTTGCTTGAAAAAGTTTTTCAATTTTTAATGGAAATTAATTTCAAAAATTTATACCTTTTTATTCGAAAGAAAAAAATGAAAAATTCATTAAATGAGGAATTTATTTAGTAAATTTACTGAAAGTTACCGTACTTATCATTGATTAGCTATCATTATCATATCTTTTCTTAGACATTTTCAATTTGACAAATTAAAATTAACATTTGAAAATTATTGATGAAAGATAGGAACAATTTTTATTATAATAAATTAAATTGATAGTAAATTAACAATTCAAATATTATTATTATTATTTCCCAATCATTCTTCAAAAATATATTAATTATAATAATTCATATTTTGGATGTTTTTTTCTAATTAATTATTTCTAAAGTAGCATTTCATACTTTATTATTGCTTATTTTACTTTAAAATACTTATCAGAGCTATTCAAATAAACTGAAATTTTTTCAAATGTAAAATTAATCGCAATATTTTTTTTTTTTTTTTGTTTACATTAATTGCTTTGATGTAAATTAAAATTTTTCCTATTTGTAGATTTCAATGAAAAAGAAGAAAAGTTGACAAAAGAGGAACTTGAAATTGCTGAATTAGGAAAGCCATGTCTGGGAAAATTCAAACAATGTCAAATTACTATCAAAGAAAGCCGAGAATTTCGAGTTGATATATATATTTTTTTTTTTTTAAAAAATATTTTAATTAAAAATTAACATAAACAAATAAATAGTATTATAAAATTACTACATTTATTATTTGAATAAAATCGGATGAATAAGAAAAAAAATATATTTTTTTATAATCAAAAAAAAAAAAAAAAAAATGTTATTAAATATTAATTCGAATATATTAATTTAACAAATTTTAATTTATTAAAAACTATTCAGAGTGTAATCGATCGTATGCTACGAAATGCTAATGCATCATTTATGCTTGGCACAACAAATTGGCGTGAACAATTCATTGATGCTTTAACTGTTCATGCTGGTATGTCACTTAATTATGCTATTTAATAATTAATATCAAGAAATAAAATTTTTTTTAATTGAAATAAATATGTTAGTAATTAGTGTAGAAAATAAAATTTTTAATTAAAATTAATACAAATACTTATTAATGTGAAAAATAAAATTTGTAATCGAAATAAATATAAGCGTACTAAATGGAATAATTTGATTTAATTTGTTGTAGGTTTTGAAGACGAGAAAAATATCAGTGAGGAACAGATGAATAAAGAAGATGGAAAATTAAAACCACGATTTTTTGATTATTTCATGCATTTCTTATCATTACCATGGAAATTATTATTTGCAACAATACCACCAACAGGTAAAATACTCAATCAATAAGTGAAATACTCAGCCAACAGGTAAAATACTCAATCAATAAGTGAAATACTCAGCCAACAACTAAAGTACTCAACCAACGGGTAAAATACTCAATCAATAAGTGAAATACTCAGCCAACAGGTAAAATACTCAATCAATAAGTGAAATACTCAGCCAACAACTAAAGTACTCAACCAACGGGTAAAATACTCAATCAATAAGTGAAATACTCAGCCAACAGGTAAAATACTCAATCAATAAGTGAAATACTCAGCCAACAACTAAAGTACTCAACCAACGGGTAAAATACTCAATCAATAAGTGAAATACTCAGCCAACAGGTAAAATACTCAATCAATAAGTGAAATACTCAGCCAACAACTAAAGTACTCAACCAACGGGTAAAATACTCAATCAATAAGTGAAATACTCAGCCAACAGGTAAAATACTCAATCAATAAGTGAAATACTCAGCCAACAACTAAAGTACTCAACCAACAGGTAAAATACTCAATCAATAAGTGAAATACTCAGCCAACAGGTAAAACACTCAACCAACGGGTAAAATACTCAGCCAACAGGTAAAATACTCAACCAACAATTAATTATTATTTTGCATTGTGTTTTTTTTTTTTATTACTAAAATAAAATTAAAAATATAAATGAATTTTAGATTATTGGGATGGTTGGGCATGTTTCATCGTATCAATTATTTTAATTGGTACACTGACAGCTATTATCGGTGATTTAGCGTCACAGTTTGGATGTTGGATTGGTCTAAAGGATGCTGTCACAGCTATTTCATTTGTCGCACTTGGCACATCAATTCCAGGTTAATTAAAAAAAAAAGAATTTATTTGATAAGTCATTTTTGTTTTGTTTTTTTTTTTTTTTAAGATTATTAGAATGAAATTTTAATTTTAAAAAATAGTAAAACAAATGAATGAAATAATTGAAAGAGATTTTTTGAAAGAGAAAAGTAAATGGAAGAAATTTATAAATTTTATCATTTTTCTATGAGAAATGATAAAAAGTTTATCACATAAACTTCTGCTATAATTTGCTGTTAAAAAAAAAAAGTAAAAAAAAAAAAATTGACTAAAAGCAATGAGTAATTTAGAAATTAGTTATTTTGAGTTAATAATTTAAACAAAAAATATTTCTTTCTTATTTTTTTACAGATACATTTGCATCGAAAGTAGCAGCAATTCAAGATAAATATGCTGACTCATCAATTGGTAATGTTACTGGTTCAAATGGTGTAAATGTATTTCTGGGAATTGGTTTGTTAAATTTTTCTTATCACTTATCAATTGTAATTTTTTTTTTATTTAATAAGTATTTTTTTACTCGGAATTTTACAAATTTTTATGATATGATAATTTGATATGATAATTTCTTCTTGTTTTATTTTTTTTTATGATATGATAATTTGATATGATAATTTCTTCTTGTTTTATTTTTTTTTTATGATATGATAATTTGATATGATAATTTCTTCTTGTTTTATTTTTTTTATGATATGATAATTTGATATGATAATTTCTTCTTGTTTTATTTTTTTTTTATGATATGATAATTTGATATGATAATTTCTTCTTGTTTTATTTTTTTTTTATGATATGATAATTTGATATGATAATTTCTTCTTGTTTTATTTTTTATTCTTTTCAGGAATAGCATGGACAATGGCAGCAGTTTATCATCGATTGCATGGTGATAATTTTTACGTTGAACCAGGAACACTTGCATTTTCGGTGACAATATATTGTATAGAGGCATTAATCTGTATTGCAGTGATTATCATAAGACGACGTCCTCCAATTGGAGGTGAATTAGGTGGACCTATGAAATATAAGGTTTAATTTTTTTAATTCATTTATTAAAATTTCATAAATCATTTGAAATTTTTAAAAAAAAGATAGAAATTAATCTTTACATAATTACAATAATTAGGTTAAAAAGAGAAAAAATGTTCAACTGATAACTTTAGTGATAAAATTATGTGTATCAAAACATTTGAATATTTGCTAGCTAATAAATTTATTTTTAATAGATAGCTAATAGAAAAAGCTATGCTAATTTTTTACTTGAAATTTTTGATTATCTAACAAATTTATAATTAATCATCAAATTTTCTATGAGTACAAATATACTCGTTTAAATTACTTATGCTATTTACTTGTACTAATTTTATTATAGTATTTCTGTTATCTGTAAAAAAAAAAAAAAAAAATTGAAAAACATAAAAAAGTAAAAAACATAAAAGAAAAAGTAAATAAAATTTGTTATCTGGAATTTTCAAGAAAAAAAAAAAAAGAAAAAATTCAAAATAATTTCTAATTTTTTTCAGGTGCTAACATCAGGTTTATTTGTTACTCTTTGGCTTACTTACCTCGGTCTTTCTGCTCTCGAATCATACAATGTCATTTCTGGTTTTTAGAGTAATTCAAAAGAATGTTCCATAGTTTTATTTATTTTTTTTTCAAAACTAATTAAAATTCTTATTATTTATTATTATTAGCTTTTTCAATTTGTCATTTTTGCAATTTTTCTCGATTATTTTTTTAAAAATTAAGTTTTTTCTCTTTTCTTCGATTCTCATTTGTTGTTTTTATCCATGTACTGAATCCAGGACCAGTAATAATAATAATAATAATAATAATAATTGAATTGTAATAACAATAATGATAATCAATACCAACAATAAATAATGATAATAACAGTGGCAATAATAACAAGGATAATAATAATGATAGTAATGATAAATAGTGATAATAACAGTGGCAATAATAACAAGGATAATAATGATAACAGTAATGATAAATAATGATAATAACAGTAGCAATAATAACGAAGATAATAATAATAATTGTTTTTTCATTGTATATTAATTATTAATTTTTATTGTAATGATACAATAAAAACAATTTTAGGATATAGTGATACATTGTGATAGGTAGTTGTCCTTTTTATTCTCTTATCACCTTATCATCTGTTACACTTGTAAAATTTCTCACAAACATATGAAGAATATTTCATTTTTTTTCGAATAATTAAATTCGCTTGTCCAATTTATCATTCTTTTTTTTTGCAATTTTGAAAATTTAGAAAAAAAATTTCTCTCTTTAATTTCAAAATTTTGTCACATTTATGCTATCAGTTCTTTTATCACATTTGTATATGTTTATAATAAAATGTAAAATGCAAATAAATTATACAAAAATTATTAAAATGCATTCACATAGCAATTTTAAATGATTTATTCATTGATACATTAGTAAAAGTATTGTATATACAAAATAGTTTATATTTACATCACCAAAGAATAGTAAATTTAAGATTGAAAGAAAAAAATTTAAGTATAAACTGAATTTTGCTCTAATCTTTCTTAGAAATCAAAAATTTTGTTGCAAATTTTAAAGAGAAATGAAATTCCTATCTAATAGTAATGCTTGTAAACTAATACCTATAGCTTTCTTAAGTAACTCAGAGTATATTCTATATTTAAAGTAATACTTTAAGAAATGCAATAATTACAGACGAAAAATATTGTAATATAAAAATAATCTAAAGTAATTAGTGGAAATAAGTGATGTAATTTATAGTTGTAATCACAGTTTATGATAAAATTTAAATTTACTATAATTACAGTCAATGTGCATTCTTCTGTTTATATCCGTGATTGAACTGAAATATAAATTTATTATCGATAAATGAATAAAATAAAAATGAACAGAGATAAAATTATATTGAAATTAGAAAAGAAATTGTTTTGAAATTTTTACGGAATAATATTCCAATAAATGAAACAAACAAATTTTAGATAATTCATAATTTAATTAAATGGAATTTACAGTTGTTATCAGTGTATAACTTTATTACTATTATATCATATAACTGATTTTTCTCGGTTTTGTTCTAATCCGGTTAACTTGAATTGATCTCTATCTTCGTTTAAAATTAATATGTAAAATTGAATTACAGGATGAAGATCAGTTCGAAATATGATAAATCCAGCTAAAGTACTGTAATCAGCATTTTGCAGACGTTTAGCAGCATCACAAATCACTCCGCAAGGTAGTTGAACCATTAATCTCTGAAAAATATTTTCTAATAATTAAATTAAATTTCATTCCTGAATTGATTTCAAGTTTATTCAGCACATCAAACAATTATCACTGTAATCAGAAATGCATTACTGCTATGTGAACTGATAATGAAAAAAACTGATAATTGCTATCAGTAATTTGATTAATTGAATTGATCAAATATTTTTCATTGAAATGATTAATTCTTAATTTGATTAATTGAATTGATCAAATGTATTTAATTAAAATGAATAATTTTTAGCATAAAAATGATAAATAATGGAAGAAATAATTAGAAAAGAATAAGAAAATGATGCAATAAATTTATAATAATTACAGGAATTAATTACTAAATATTAGTCAATGATATTTAGCAATCGAAAATATCAAATACACTAATATATTTTAGTTAATGTAAAATATTAGTGAAAATATTGAAATATGAAATATTGACTATTTAAACTGATCAAAAGTATTTTAGTTCAAAGTATATTACATCAGGATAATATATTAGATAAATAAATAAATATTTACGGTATTTTATTAGTAATTCTTGAAAGCAATTCAAATTAAGAATTTACAAAAATAATTTTTTTTTTTTAGAAAAAGAAAAAAGTAATTTTTAGAATTTTTTACATTTCCAACTTAAAATACTTTTCAATTATAAAAGACTAAGATCAATTGGCCACTGCCAAAAAATGAAAAAAAGCTTTTTTAAAAAAAAAAAAAATAAAAGAACTAACATTAGGCAATTGTTTCAACTGATTATATACATAAATATCAGAGTTTGTTAAAAAGCTTTTATCACTGCTTTTATCAGTGTTATTTGATTGCTTTGAGTTTAACCGAATCGATGACTCATTACGCTGTAATTAAAATTGTTGTCATCAACTATTTGCTATAAATTTTAAATTCATTTTTGATAAATTAGAATATGAGTAAAATGAATGAGAAATATTTTTGCATTTTATTATTTAATAACTGATAAACAAACTTTGAAAATATTAATGTAAGATTGTTCACATGAAATTTTGTCTAAAAATATTTCATTCAAGTGTGTGCGTGAATCGTCGATAGATTTAATGTTTAATTAATTTGTTAAATAATTATAATTTGTTATTGTAATGTTATAGTAATATAATTGTTTAATTAAGTAATTTAGTTACATAATTATTTAATTAAAGGTAATTTAATTAATTACATAATTATTAATTATATATAATTTGTTACAAATTATAGTAATTACAATTATAGTATTTCTAAAATACTAAATAGCTTTTTGTGATGATTTCAGAAGAAAATAGCTTTGAAAATATGAAATTTAAATTATTAACTTTATTGTTAGTAACAATTGCATTGTTCCGTTTTGATTTCAATGATTTAATGACACTTTTTACGTGAATCGTTGTACATTTACGGTTTGGTCGTCTAAAAAAAAAATTAGAAAAAAGAATAAAAAGAAAAGAAAAGAAAACAAAACAAAAAAAAAAAATTGTATATCCGAAACTTTTTGAAGAAATGAAAAATGCTTTAATAATTTTAAATGTTTTTCTAAATGTTAAAAAAATTTTTTTTCAAATTTCATCAAACTTTTATTATCAAAAAAAAAAAAACCAAATTTAACTATGTGATAACATTTACTTCTGCTTTTTGCTAATTGTTTGCAAGGTAGTTCGTATAGCTTCGCGTGCAACTAAAAAAAAGAATAAAAAAAAATATTTTGAAAAATTTTTGAAAAAAAAAAAAAAACCAGTAATTATAGATAGAAATTTGTTCATTTCATCAATTATCATTAAAATAATGCTATATCAATAATTTGCATTCTTTGATGACAGTATTCAATTTTAATTATAATCAAATTTTATCGAACTTTTTTTTTTTTTTTAAAAAAAATTTAACCACTGATTTGAATAGTTGAAATGTTAATTCATCTTGACATTAATAAAATTTTTGCTTAATACTTTAACATTTTTATATTTGAAAAAAAAAAAAAGAAGAAAAATGAGAAAAAGTTACCTTCTGCAGCTTTTCGTTTAATTCTCATTGTAATTATTCTTTGCTGAATTAATTTGTTTTTCGAAATTTCAAAGTTATTATAAATTTTTTTCACAAAAAAAAAAAGAAAATATGTCGAAAATATTTCCTTTTAAATTAAATTAATCAACATTCTGAGTTCATTTTTTATTTATTTAAGAAAACAAAAAAACAAATGAGAGAAGATTAAAAAGATAACTAGGAAGACATTAAAATACATATGTAAAAAATAACTTTTATTAGAACTTCATAAAAAAACAAACAAACAAAACAAAACAAAACATTGAATAAATCAGAAGAAAAAGAAAAGTACATAAAAAACAAACAAACAAACAAGCAAAACAAAACATTGAATAAATCAAAAGAAAAAGAAAAGTATACATTGGCGCAAAATTGTAGATTAAATATTAGCGCCAATTAGTTATATTGATTATAGAAATATTGGTAGAATGTAGTAATATAATTTTATTTCTTTAGTTTTACTCAAATTATTTTTTAACGAATAATTCGAAGTACTTTTGATGAAAGAATTAACAATTTAGAAAATTTTTTTTTTATTCACTGAAATATTAAAATATGGATGAAAAAAAAAAAGGAACCTGAATTTAATTATTATAGATTTCAATGTTTCATTCAATAAAGAATTTGTGATATAATTTTAAAATGAACGAACAGAGTTACTCAGGAAGTACACTGATTGTTGTTTTAAAATGGAATGAAATCATAATAAAGTATAAATGATTTTATATTGCTAAAAAGAAAATCGTATTCAAATATTTTTTAATTTATCAATGAAATCGCTCTGTTGTCATTAAACCACTCTGTTATCACTAAATTAGAAGTGATAATTTAGTAAATGTGCTATTTTGATGAAATCTTTCCTAAAATTTAAAAATTATACTTTTTAGAAAACACTAACAATTGCAATAATCGTTTAGAAAGGGTTATTATAACTTAATAGGATTACTTTAATAGGGTTTGATCCAAAGTTTTTGATACTATTGAAAATGGCAATCTTTTCAACAAAAAAAATTGCGCGTAATTCTAGCAAATTCTACAACATGGGAAGAATATTCGTAACTGCATAATTTTACGTAAAATAAACCTATAAAAAATTGAGTTTGTATTAAAAACAAGCTTACAGTTAAGAGATATCCTTTGAAGGTACTTATTTTAAAATGTCCGATGTAGTAACTAAGAATATAATTAATTTAGAAGTGATGAGGAGATAAATTAATAAGTCACAAGAGGACATTGGTAGGGCCAAATGAGTTACCTATTTAGCTCATGAGCTATTCAGCTGAATAGATAATAACTT